CAGGATCATAAATTCCTTAGAAGTAAAAAGAAGGGAACAATTATTTTCAGTGGTGAATTGGTGAACTGATAAAAGGTGGGTTTTTAAGTCAGGGACATGGAAAAGGTTAGAGATGGTGAAAGTACCTGCGGATGTGGACACTTTCCCTGAGCCAACATACGATATAGGTAGAGACTGCCCTCCAGCAGTAGAAACAGAGTTTGGGCCATGGTATGGTAAGGGATTATGGAGCCTTGATAAATCCGAAGTCACATGAGTCGTTGCACCAGAGTCTAGATGCCAATTCTGATTAGTGTCTGTAAGATATGTGGTGTACAAAGCTTGAGCATTATTAATGAAATGAGGTGGACCAGAAAAATCTTCATTGTAACGATTCCAGCATTGCCATGCACCATGATTTATTTTACCACAAATTTGACAGACTAGTGTCGATGCTCGATAAGGGCCACGACCACGACCACGATCTGACTGGAATCGGCCACCTCCACTGGTACGGCCCCCTCCTCGGCCATTGAAGGAGCGACCACGGCCACGTCCACGCCGACTTTCACCACGTCCATTCGTAGTATATAAAGCAGTATGAACCTCATTCGACGGACCAGAGGAGGAGCCAAGATGCAGCTTTTGTTCCATCTGCAAATTGAGCTCCTCGGAGAGCAACCAAGATGACACTTTGTTGAAAGTAAGGTCAGTAATGTTCGTCCGAATATTCTGTTTAAGTGAGGCATACTCTGATGGCAAACCTCGCACGACACTAAGAATAATGTCCTGTTCAGGGACGGGCTCACGTGCAAGAGCAAGAGATGAAACAATTCCAAGCACCGAGTCTAAATATTTTTGCATTGAATCATGCCCTTTGTGAAGGTTGTTGAGTTGCTCCTTGAGTTGAAATATATGAGTACGGGACAGAGAATTATAACGTGTATGTAGATGATCCCAAATCTCGGCAGCAGAGGAACAAAGATGAACCAAATTCTGAATGGTCGGGGAAAGGAGAGATGAACCAAATTCTGAACGGTTCGGTCCGGGTTTGATTGTTCCTGGTTGTTTGTTGTGGGTTTAGCAAAAATGTGCTACCCGTATGTTGTTTGGGCTGAGTTGGCTAAAAGAGATTGAGATGCCACCGCCAGTTGTGTGGGCTAGCTATAAGAGATTGAGATGCTAGACCCGTTTGTCCAAGTGCTAACTAGGCCAGGCTAGTTACCACTTGCGGGGGAGTGTTGGAGTTCCCACATCGGAAAATAAAGATAAATATCACTTGCATATATTGAAGGGTGAAGCCCTACCTATCAGCTTAAGCTTTTGGGTTAGAATTGTGGATCCCGACTTTATATGCAAGTGATTAATTGAAGATGATGATAATAATTGAGATGATGATGATGAGATGAGATGATGATGATGGCCGATCAATTTTCAGAGACGATCGAAAAAAAAAGAAGAGACAGAGACGGGGTTCCGTTACCCAGGCTCTGATACCATATTGACAAATGGGTAGATTGAAGGACACTTCTGTGGAGAAGAGTACATCACAATATATATAGAAAATAGTACTACTACCATAATGAATATTGTCTAACAAATAATAATTATAGTTTAACTAATTGTATGAAGAAGAGAAGATTCCTCGCTCGAATGTACTTCCTCCCTTTCACAAAACACTTCAATTCTGTCCTTTTTTTTGCGCATGCATCCTTCAAAACACTTCTACCCCAAAATACAGTTCCATTTTGTAATTTATTACGGGTAAAATTTGTTTTCAAAGTATTTTAGACATTTTAGATAGAGTAGAATGAAGTGTTTTATAGGGTGCACGGAAAATTAGGGTGGAAACGGAGGGAGTATTTATTATGGGAAGTAAAAAAATGCATAGAATAATAATTTTAAGATTAACAAAAAGACCAATCATGCAATGCTAACGAGACTTGAAACATCACTCGTAAAATTTTAAAGTCTAACAACTAACCGTGCATGACTTAATAACTTGAAAGATCAATGGTAAAGTTTAACCTTTAAAAAAACATGCACTCCCTCCGTACCATAAAGAGAGAGACATTTGACTAAAATGGCAAAATAAGGAAGGGATAATTTTGTGCTGACTTTTCAAAAATATCCTTGATGTGATGGGTAAAAATAGGATGTGCTGTGTAGATTATTAGAAAAATCTTCGTGTCACTTCCATTTACTCCATCGGTCCCGTACTCCCGTAACTAGACTTTGAATTTATGGTTGTGTTCTGAGGCAAGAGCGTGTTACATATACTCCGTCGTCGCATTTCCCATAACCAAAGAATGAAGTAATAATCGTATACGTAGTAACTACTCCGATCCGTTAGTAACTAACTACTATCCTCCCACACCATGCATGCATGCGGCATGCCTCGAATGTACCTTTGCATATGTAATACTCTCCCCTCACACAAAATTTTTCTCTATTTTTCTTTTATTCGTCTCAAAAAACTTTTCTTATTTTTATTAAAAAGTTATTTTGCTCATATTAATTCTTCAACTACCTTTCAAAGCATACTTTTTCAATATTAATCTACCCGTCACATCAATTTTTACCTATCACATTCAAGGACAATATTTTTGGAAAGTCAATACTAAAATAGACTCCTCTTAAATCTCTTAAAATTCAAAACAAGAAATATTTTGTGGGATAGACATATAGTATATATAAATACGGAGTAGTATATACAATTAATTAGGCTTCTAGCTAAGAAAGTGGTAACTAATACTAGTACAAGTAACGTAACTAAGATAGAGAAGAAGATGAAGAAGAGTAGTTCAAAGAATGTGGTGGTTTTCTTCGTTCACAGCAGCTGGATAATCGCCATAGCCGCCGTAATCCTGGCCAACAATCCTCAACTCGCCTCCGCGGCTTGCACCGACAATCCTCTGAAAGGCATATTACTGGGCGGAGAAAAGGGAGGCCGCCGCCTCCGTGCCGGCGGGGATTGGTGCCAGTGGGATAGAGACCATTGTGACTGGAAGGTAACTTGTTGCGAAGGTTAATTATTGCACGGCGTGGACTAACGGTTACTGCACCTGCGTCGGAGAAGGCGGCACTTATGGGATCCAGCACGGCTGTTGCCCTAACTACAAATGCGACGGCTACTTTTCCGGCACTTGTAAGAGCCGTTAATTAGCTACCTGAAAAAAAACAATATGTGTCGTCTTGCTCTCGATGTTTTTATGAATAAAACGAGTAGTAAGCTTAGTAATTAAAAATGATGTATGTTTATTGCGATGTACTCCATACGACTACGTACTTATGTTTATGTACATTGTCAATTTGTCATCCAACCAAGTAAATTTATAATACAAACTGATTAGTAGAATAATACTCCGTATTGGGATTTGCTAGCTAGTTGCGATTTTCTTTCTGAGGCCCTTCTTGGAGAAAGATTTGTTTTATATAGGACTGAAACGTAATATGTTTCCCTGAATAGGGTCAAGTAAGTATTATTTCTTTATGCCACATAATTCGAAATGATCTGCTATATATGCCCTCATTCGTAATAAGTATTGGATAATGACTTATTATACGAATGATTCTACAAATATGGTCATTAGTAATAAGTGTTGCATAATGACTAATTATTTCAATGACTATTCAAATTGTTTATAATAATACTCCCTCCGTCCCCGAAAGTATTTTCCTTATTGACTTTTTGGGAAATTAAGGGAGAGATATTTTGGTGTTGACTTTCCAAAAATACCCTTGATGTGATGGGTAAAAGTAAGATGTGATGGATAGATTATCAGTAAAAAGGCATGATGTAACAGGTAGGGTATGAAAAAGTAAGGGGTAAAAATGATTTTTTAATAGATAAGAAAAGAAGTTATTGGGACAAGAAAAAAACGAAAGGGGAAGGAGTTTAAGGGACTGAGGGAGTATGTCTTATATATTTTACTTGAATTGTGTAATTGGTTGTCGTTTTTTTCAAATCTAAAGCATTTTAGAACTTTTTATTACCAGACGTTAGAGTAGATAGCACTGATCCTTTTTAAAGAAAAGTGATATGTAGTTTAAGTCTAATTTGCGTAAATTACTCATTCTTCTACCCGTTGTTGTAACCTAACGGCTTTACTTTGAACAACTAGTCACAAGGGGAAGTAAAAGTTACAAAGAATGGTTCGTTTAATCGTATGATGAGTACAACCTAGCCTATATGAATTTGATGGAACTTAATTTCACGGTAATTACCTCTGTCAAATATCATAAATTAAAATAAATTAAATAATTTCAATTGGGACAGAGAGAGTAGTATAAGTATTCCATTTAGGGAATGACTCTAGTAAGATGACATCTTATGGTAAGATGATATGCTTCAATCAGATGACACAACATTGGTCATGGGCTATCAAAGTGTAAAGCTCACCAAGTGTCAATGCAAAGCTCACCAACTGGCAATAGAAAGCTCATCAAGGAACAATATAATGCAAAGCTCACCACTTTTTTTTAAAAAAAAAAGCTAATAAAATTGCACCACCAGTCAACCACACCGGCCCACGGCGGTAGTGTGCAGCGGTTAGAAGTCAGCACCACCGCCCTTTGTTTTTTTTACAAAGTCATTTTAAAATTTAAAGTGTGGTGAGCTTTGTGCACATATTCGGTGAGCTTTGCAATGAGAGTCAGTGAGCTTTGTTGCTGGGCTTTGTGAGCATTTAACCATCAAATATTGAAAAAAAAAGTAAAGTGTTAGAAAATCATGGTGAGCTTTGCAGTTGACAGTGGTGAGTTTTGCGTGATCAGTGGTGAGCTTTACAGTGATCAGTGGTGAGCTCCAGCGTCATCTGACTGAATGATGTCATCTTACCACAAGGTGTCATCTCACCGGAGTCAATTCCTTCCATTTATCATTTGATATAATAACTAAGTAATATATACTCATACGCAGTACTTCGTATATTTTTTTATGAATTGTAATTTTGTTTGAATGTATCATTGTAAAATCTGATAAAGTCTAAGATTTTCTTTTAAATATTCCTTTTTTCAGTTTTTTGAAATTGTTTTTGTAATAAATTACAATCCATAATTAGAAAAACAAAAATGTATTATAACTAGATTGTGAATTATCTGAGAATCAAACCAGACCGAGAATTGCCCGAGAATCGAATTCGACCAGAA